AGGTCCTCTTTGCTCCCTGGTGGGGGGTGAGGTGTCGCCGCCGCACGCAGCACCCCCAGCATGATGACATCACACGGAAGTGATGTCATCATGTTGGGGATGTCGTGGTGGGTGCTGGGGGCAGGGCTTCCTCCGCTGGCCAGTGAACTGGAGCCCACCAAACTGGGGGATCCCCCACTCCCACCTGGGGGCTGGCAACCCTAATTTGTAAACTGATCCTTACTATATACTGGCTTTTCACTTAACAGACAAAAGTCACTTGGCTTCACACTGCAGCTGGGGAGACAACAGATCCTTTGCAGAATCTCTAAAATACTATTACCCCAAGTGGCTGATAATCCTGTAGGGTTTCCTGTCTCCCTTTTGACCCCCAGGAGTCTAGTAGAAATCATAGAAAGGCTCCTCAATGGGAAGCACAAGCACCCCTTGCCTCTGTCTCCTGAATTTTCTCTAAGGGGCACAGGATAGCATACGTGGTTCCCCTGCCACTTTATTCTAACAATAACCTTGTAAGGTAGGCTAAACTAAGAAAGTAACTGATTTAAGATCACCTAATGAAGTTCAGTGAGGATTTGAACCTGAGTCTCCCTTGTCTGACATGCTATAGCTAAGTCACATTGGCTTTCGTACAGTGTTAGGGAAGCTTAGCATTGCACAGCCTGTTGGCATGCCAAAGTTCCTCTGCAAGAAAAGAAAAACTGTGAGCCAATATTAGCTGTACCTATCCAAGGTGTCAACAGCTATAACTCTCCATTAACTACTCCCATGTAGCAGATACTATACTTGTCTACTAAAATGCAGTCACATGAAAGAAAGGCCAAGTTGGATCAGGCTTTTAGTTCTGCATCCTGTTTCCTGTAATTTCCAACCAAGTGTCCCAAGAATACCAGAAGTAGAGTGTGAAGGCAACAGCTCCCCCCCCCCCCATGGCTTGCTCTCCAGCAGCTGGTATGCAAAGGTCTACTGCCTCTGAACATGAAGGTTCTACTGAACTGTTGTGGTCATTAGCTGTTAATATACATAGAAATTTCAGAAATCATAGGCTGTGTAAAATGATTTTTTTTGTCTGTCCCAAATCTATTTCATTGGATGACTCTGAGTTGTGGAGTTGAGAGAGAAACATTTATTGTACCCATTATCTCCAAATCTAGCATGATTTTATAAACCTCTATCATTGGTCCCCATTTTTCTAAACTAAAAGCCCCAAATGCTTCAGCCTTTCATGAGAGGTAAGGTACTCTGACCTTTTGATCTTTTTGAATGCCTTGCCTGCACAAATAAAATAATGAAATTAACCTATGGGAAACACAGCAAAGCTTCATGCTGCGGCTTCCTGTGGCCCATTAAAGCATAGGTTGGGTACATAAATAACTGTGGCATCAAACTTCATACATGAGGTCTAATCCCAGTTTTTTAGTGCTTGCAGCTGCCTTGTGGACCTTGAAGAAGATGGTAAATGCCCATGTTCATGAAACATCTGCATAATTGATTCCTGCAACAAGTACTGCTATTCATATATCACTTAAAGCCCTTTTCATTTAAACCAAGGGGTCCACTGGTTTTACTAGAGCCCTGAAGAAAGGCTATTGGAACCTCAGTGCTACAGTTAATTATTTGGAAATGATGCGAGCTCTTCTGCTTTAAATTAAATCATTCTTTTACAATGAGCTGGGGAATGCTAAGCCAGGCCAGACACCGCTGGTTAGACTTAAGCCAGGGGTGGCCAAACTGCAGCTCGGGAGCCACATGTGGCTCTTTTACACATATTGTGCAGCTCCTGGTGAGGCGGCTGGGGAAGCAAAGGGGGAGGCATGATTCCCCGATCAGTCTTCCTTTTCCCAGCCAGTGCTCCCCTCCCTGCATAGGCTTGAAGTGGGGGGGAGCAAAGAAAGAAAGCAACTTTAAATGCCTTCTCAAAGCGCCCCCCCCCCGGCTGGCTTGGAGAAGGCATTTGTCTCTTTAAATCCCTTCTCCAAGCCAAGCCAGATGGTGTGCAGGTGTGTGGGGGGTGGTTTGGAGAACATATTTTAAGTTAAAGTTGCTTTCTTTCCACCTCTCCCTCCCTCCCCATTTATTTGCTTTCTTTCCACCTCTCTCTCTCTCTTTTCCCCATCCTCCCTCCCCCATCTTCTTTCCTTCCTTCCTTCCTTTCTTTTCTTTCTTTTCTTTGACAATTAGGTATCACAAGAAGCGGAACACACGATACTCATGGGGGAGGGGTATGCCCAGGCTTCTCCCTCCCCCCCGGACAGCAGCAGTGGTGGGAAGCCCTGTGTGACTCCCAACCGCCCAGGCTTCTCTCCCTCCCCCCTCGGCCAGCAGCAATGGCGGCGAGCCCTGTGTGGCACCCAGCCACCCGCCAAGGCTTCCCCCCCCTCAGCCAGCAGCAATGGAGGCGAGCCCCAGCCCCCCGGCCACCCAGGATTCTCCCCCCCCTCGGCCGGCAGCAATGGCGGTGAGCCCTGTGTGGCTCCTAGCCGCCCAGGCTTCTCTCCCCCCCCCCGGCCAGCAGCAAAGGCGGCAAGCCCTACGTGGCTCCCAGCTGCCCGCCTGCCCAGGCGTCTCCCCCCCTTGGCCAGCAGCAATGGCAGTGGGCCCTACGTGGCTCCCGGCCGCCCACCCCCCCAG